GAGAGTGAGGGTTCAAACGCACCTTTGTTTTTGTCCTTTTTGTCTCCTCAAAGTAGAGGAGAGAGAGAATGGTAGCCATTTTAGGCTCCTTTCAAGTTACGACTCTTAGCAGGAAGCTGCTGTGGTTTCACAGCGTCCTGGCGCACAACCGCGGCTCACGATGACATTATCCTGTCACGGGAGTCTTCAGGTGTAGCGTGTAATTCCTCGACCCATATCCACAGTTGGGGTGGCTCCTCTCAGATACCTCTAGGATGAATAACATGTTCAAAGAGGTTAGACACATAAGACTTGCCTCTTGGATGGCTTGCCAAAATGTTGTTGAGTTTAACAGCATTTCTGAAGGGGTTCCAGGTCTCCCAAACAAGGAGTTGGACAGAGACATGTGGATAGCAGCAAGCAGAGCAAGAGAATTTATTCAGAAATGATCCATTTCCAAAAGACGTAAAGCAGGCTGGTACACGGAGGAAGTTGGGGAGCTCAAACAGAGATGGCACACACGGGCTTTTGGGGTCATTTGCATAGAGTCCCCGCTGGGGTTTCTATTGCTGTAATAAAACACCACAATCAAAACCCATCTGGGGAGAAGGTGCATTTCATCTCATAGCCCTCAGGCCATACTCTGTCGCCGAGGAAAGTCAGTGGCCTGCTTTCCACGGCTTGCTTAGCTTGCTTTCTTCTATACCCCAGGACCACCTGCTCAGGGGTAGCACTATATATAATGGGCCCGGCCCTCTGCATCAATCACTCATTAAGAAAACAGGCTTGCCTACAGGCCATTTTTTCCTTTTATTGAAAATAGATTGCTTTCTACGCATAATACCCCCACCCCTGTTCCTTCTCACTGCCCTCCTATCCAGAGCTAATCCCTTTCTGTCTCTCATTAGAAAGCAAGCAGGTTTCTAAAGGACAATAAAATATAACAAAATAAAATATAATCAGATAAAACAAAAACTGTCACCTCAGAGTTGGACAAGACAAACAGAAGGAAAAGAGCCCAAGAGAAGGCACAAGAATCTGAGATCCACTCATTTGCACACTCAGGAATCCCATAAAAACACTAAACTGAATGCCGTAATAGATACACAAAAGACCTGTGTATACACACACAGGCCCCATGCATGCTGCCTCGGTCTCTGTGAGTTCTTATTCGTTTGATCATGCTGATTTAGAGGGCCTTGCTTTCTTGGTATCCTCCATCCCCTCTGACTTTTACACTCTTCCTGCCTCTTTTTTTCTCAGGATTCTCTGAGTCCTAAGAAGAAAGATTTGATAGAGACATCCCATTTAGGAGTGGGTGTTTCAAGTTCTTTCACTCTCTGCATAATGTCTGTTTGTGGGTCTCTGTATTGGTTCCCATCTGCTGCAGAAGAAAGATTCTCTGTTAATGGCTGAGCAAGGTACTGCTCTGTAAGCATAGCAGAATATTATTAGAAGTCATTGTATTGCTGTCTTGTTGTTGTTGTTGTTGTTGTTAGAACATTAGTATTTGGTTTTAACCTGGACAAATACATACCCCAGGCTATCTAGTCTCTGGTTATTGGTCACCCAAGCAATGCAAGGTATGGGTTCCATCTCGTGGAGTGGGCCTTATGCCAAATCAGATATTGGTTGGTGACCCCCACAAGCTTTGTGCCACCATTGCCCTAGCGTATCTCTGCACACTACAGGACACCAGTGTAGATCAAAAGGTTGTGGCTGACTTGGGGTTTGTGTTTCTCTTTTGGTGGTGTGCAGAGTATCTTCCCGTACCAAAGATGCCAGACGTAGGGGTGGATACCTCTGTAGACGGCAACTCAACTTCTCCATGTTCAATGAGTTCTGTAGGTATTGAGGCCTTGCTGTCAGTTAGTGGAGAGCAACTTACAGTCCTGGCAACAGCCTGGGTTGTTCGGGGAGTCCCATGACACCCCTTTGGCCAACAACTCAATTAGATGCAACCCAATCCCTGCACTGGAAACTTTATTTAGTGACAAGAGATGGCCTGTTGGGACTCTGTCTTCCCCATTATTTGGTGATTTCATTTAGATCACCTTCATATTTTGTATATATTTTAGGGAGCTTCTACTGTATTAGGTTTCAATACTGCTCTCAAATTGCCCTGAGTTTTAGCTGTCTCTCTCTACATTCTTTCCCTCATCCCCCTCTTCTCCCCTTCCCCACTTGATTCTCCCATTCCAGTACCTCTGTCCGTTCATAACTCGTCTGTTTCCCTTTCTCAATGGGTCTAGCTGTCAACCCCTACTCCCTTACTCTGTACCCACTCTCTGTGGTTCTACAGGTTGTAGCTTGATCATTGACTTAACAGCTAATACCCACATATAAGCAATACTTACCAATTTTGACTTTCTAGGTTTGGGATATCTCACTCAGGATGATTTTTCTCTAGTTTTATCTATTATTTGTGAATTTCATGATGTATTTTTTTTTAAATGGATGAGTGATTTTACTCCATTGTTTAAAAGAACCACTTTTTCTTTATTGATCCTTCTGTTTAGGGATATCTAGGTTGTTTCCAGTTTCTGGCTATTATGAATAGAGCCCACATCACTTAATCATTAAGAAAACAGGGTTGCCTACAGGCCAGTCCTACAGAAACATTTTCTCTATTGCAGTTCCTTCTTTTCAGATGACTCTAGCTTATCTTGACAAAACAAAACAAAACCAGCCAGTACACACAGAGTGTGCTTTGAGGAAGTTATTTTTGTAGCATGAGCTTTCTCACGAATGCTCTCTCACATGCAGTTTTTAACAAGTCAGAGGTCATATTCAGATGCTCTCGAGTGTCCCAGCATCTACTCCAGTGGCTCTCACCAGTTCTAGCTGGCCTTGGCCAGTAGTGGTAGGTATGGGGTTCAGTCTTCCTCTTTGCCTACAGGGTTTCCTACTATGCTATTTTTATCTATCTATCTATCTATCTATCTATCTATCTATCTATCTATCGTATGTGTGGGGCCACAGCACAACTTGTGAGATATGGTTCTCTCCTATCACCATGCTGGTTCCAGGGTGTGAACTCAGAGTGCCAGACTTGATTGAAAGCACCTTCACCAGATGAGGCTTCTCACTGCCTCTTCATATTTTTTTTTTAGCATGCTAACTTTGAAGCTTTCGTGTAAAGATTCTGTCCTTCACTTCCCATTCATTTCTTCAGCATTCTGACAGTTGATCAAGTCTAGCCTATGGGAGCATGGGATGTCCTAAAAACTGTGGCTACAAAGAGGATGAGGAAGGTAGAGGGCTATCTTCATCAAGGCAGGTGCTCTGCTGGTGTTGTGGGCAGGAAGCCTACTGCTACACACTAGGAGATGCTGTGGGAGGGCCCAAATGATCTATTTCTTCCTCTCCCAAGGCTTTGTTTCTTCTACCGTGGTCAGGCCATTTAGAGAAAGTGTCTGTTTTTATACTCTAGAGGCATAATACTCAGAAAAGAATCACAGTCACACACATGTATATTATATATTTATATATAGATATATATGGATACATCATACCTTCCAAGGCAAAGGTTCGGAGAATATTGCAGAGTGTGGAAAGGGGAGCTGAAGGAAGAGCGATCAAGTGTGGTAGGAAAGCCATTTCCTCTAGCTTAGCATGATCATCAGCCATGAGCAAGAACACTGCTGCTATGATCCACTGAAGACCTTGGCCCACAGTCGTGGCAATGAAATTAGCAAAATACTACTGTGGAAAACAGACTGATGTTGGTCCTGAAGCTGTTAGCATTCCCTTTTACAGGGACATGAGGGTCAGCAGCCCTGAGGTTCCAGCCACCACTCCCCATGACCCCCATCTGCATCTTGTCTGGAGCGGGTGTCCAGGTCTATACGAGGTGGACATTTCCTAGAAATTGGTCATCTAGTGGTGCTGTTTTTGTGAGTTGTCACCCATGCTGAGTGAGGCTTCTCAGTGATGGAGTCACCAAGCTTTGGTAAATAACTCCAGCAAACTGGTTCACCTGTCTGGATTTGGATGGAATTTTTTCTTTGGTGTCTGGAGGGCAAACAGACGTTTGGTTTCTGCAGAAAAGGTTGTACAAAAGAGATACCAATAAGAGCAGGATGAAGTGGGAGTCTGGAGTCTGGAGATGAACTCCCAGTTGGTGGGGCTCTGGCTGCAGCATTTGGACCAAGACAAAAGATAAAGCTCAGAGGGAGAAAGGCCAGGATTATGAACACCTCCAAATGTGCTCTGGCTCTGAGTTGGCTTTGGTTTGTTTGTTAATTTGCTAGTTTTTAAGATTTATTTATGAATATAGTGTTCTGCCTGCATACCAGGAGAGGGCGCCAGATCTCATTATAGATGGTTGTGAGCCACCATGTGGTTGCTAGGAATTGAACTCAGGACCTCTGGAAGAACAGCCAGTGCTCTTAACTTCTGAGCCATCTCTCCAGCCCCCGAGCTGGCTTTGAAGCTGATCCTTGTCTCTGGAACCCCTTGCAGGCCACATCCCCCAAGAGTGCAGGTACCAGGCCAAATGTCAATCTTCCTCACAACAAACTCCAGCAGACTACCACCACAGCCATTGACCCTGTGATCAACGGGCCCACTATAAAATGGAAACATCACCAAGAGGCTCAGGGCTTTAACAGCTGCGTGTTACTGTGTTGAGCATTGCTTTATGACCATGGGGTCTCCTGAACTGGAACCCCCCTGAATACGGAGCCTGAGCAACACTGACAGCCATGTGCCATAGAGGACAGCCTTCCAGACCACAGCCACTGCCCTCCTGCCTACCCTTACAGGAAGCATGAAGTCTGGGGGTCTCTAGAGGAGGCAGCCATTAGACGGTCCTCTCAGAGCTCTTTGTTCCTTCTTTACATATCACCACTTGCATCTGGGTGACACCGAGGGCCCCGTCAGGACTGTGTCCAGGGGAGAGCTCTGTTCTAAACCCAGTGGCTGGCCATCAAGGCCCCATTCTGGGGCCTCGGGGGTTCTAGGTCCGGGGTGGCAAGTTCCAGGGTCCTTCAAGTTGGTCTTTCGTCTCAGTCCTCTGGTCTCTTCAGGGGAGCAGATACAATCTCTCTAGGCCGCCTGAGCTACCTAGAGTGTTCACGTCAGGTTCAGGATGATTTGGGGGCTCCTTGATAATAATATCACAGGTTCCTCTGGTCCATGGCGCATGCTCGCTTCTAGGTGAGGGTCAAGCTCTGAGAATCTTGGCTCTTGTGGGGAGTACTGGAGGACATGGCTGACATGGATGCATCCTGGAACTCCTTGGCCATGTAGTAGTAACAGATGGCATCGAGGCAGCAGTTGGCATCTGAGAGCTTGCCTGTGATGGACAGGGCACGGCTAAAGGTGAAGTGGGCAGCACAGGTGTTCAGACCCAGGGAGAACTTCACCGTCAGGATCACATGCAGTGGCAGGAAGCAGATGATAAACACTACCAAGTTGGCCCAGATCATGTGGATGGCCCTGCGGGTGACCTCTACCTGCACCACATCAGTGGTCGGCCTCTGCCCCAGCGCGGTCACAACCTGCAAAGAGCAGAAGACCACAATGGCCAGGGGCAGGTAGAAGCCCAGCATTGAGAAGGCAATGGTGCTGAAACCGTGCCGCCCATAGTTCCTGAAGCAGAAGCCACCCTCCTGCAGCCCCAGGTGCCAGCGCACTACCAGGGAAGAGAGCACCACCACCCAGAGGACCAGACACACTGCGGCAGCCTTTCTTGGGGACCGTAGCTCACGGGCGCGTATCGGATGCCGCACTGCCACGTAGCGGTCCACGGCAATGACAGTGACCAAGCTAATGCTCATGTATCTGTTGGCCAGGTAGATGCCCTGTGAGAGCTGGCAGACTGGTGTATCTGAAGTGTGTCTCAGGGAGTATAGCATGAATGGCAGGGAACAGAGCAGGCAGAGGTCAGCCACAGCCAGGTTGGTCATGTAGACGTGGGTCTCCGTCCACTGGCGCATGCGACAGCAGAACACCCAGAGCGCCAGGCCGTTGAGCAGCAGGCCCAGCACCAGCAGCAAGACCAAGTAGACGCCAAAGACATAGTAGAGCGAATTAGGCCACAGGTTGCCACCGTTGCAAGTTGCATTCATGGTCCTGGAGCTGCAGGAGAGTCAGGAAGTCAGTGAGGTAGGTAGAAGGAGGAGCCCCAGGATAAGGCCCTGCTCCTGTCCCAGGGCCTGCCCACCTCTGTGCAGGAATTCTGGGAGCAAGCATGCACCACACTGTGAAAGTCCCCTTTCCAAAGAAACTATAGAAACAGTAGAAATCTCAAAGTCACCCTCAAGGCCTAACCTTTTCTCACTGGACAGGCAGGGAGACCAAAGTCTCCAGATATGGAGGAAGACCTAATGTTGCAGTGACCAGCCCAAAGCCAGAGACAGAAGACTCCTCCCATCTCCCTGGCCCTCCTCTCCTTGGGCCAGCCTATTGCAGGGGAGAGGAGGTGGGAGGAGGCTCCACAAGTCCTATCCAGGAAGCTCCAACTCTCTAGAGCCTCCTTCAGCACACAGCTCTCAGCAGGGGGGAGTCAGAGCAGCCCCACCTATGGGTACAAGGATCCCCAGGCTGGGCCCTGACTGTGAGAAGACACCTACACTTGATTCACAGATACGATCAGCACCCACTCTGTCTGGTCTGCCTCTGAAGCACATGGCAATAGAGGGTACATAGAACCGAGATCACCCCTGGAAAGCTGTGGAAACTTCTGAGGCGCTACCACCAGGCCTGTATCATCCCAAGGACCCATTCCAGGCTCATGTCTGAGATCGGGGTATCCACCTTGACCTCAGAGGTACACAGTTCCCAGAGGCCATAGCCCTGTACCTCCAGGACCTGGACGTGCCCAGAGGCCTAGGCCATTGCCATTGTTGGGAACATCCCCAAGGCCACCCTCCACTGTCCTCTCTGGCCCTTTACTGCCCTGTCTCCTCTCTACAGTGAGGCCCAGGAGAGTTACTAATCCCATCAAGCCCCACCTAGGTAGCTTGGGCAGTGGTCTAACACCTAGGGCGAGGCAGGTGGCACGGCAATGAATGGGTACTAACTCAAGAAAGTGCCAGCAAGTGCTGAGCCCAGGCACACTGGACGCCTGGCCCACTCCCTTGTTCCTTGCTGGGTACCGGGGCCAGGAAGTGCTGCAGGATTGGGTGGGTCATAAGTTTAGGATTTTCTACAGGGGAAGACGACAGGAGAGGAAGAACTGTATTCTCCAGGGAGAGTCAGGCCCTAGCTGACTATCTGCCTTGGAGATGTGGAAGGCATCAACCTTCCCCACAACGGAAATGGACAAGCACTCAGACCTGGGATTGCAGACAGGGAGGTTAATGCACGCTAGATCGAGCCAGGGCTCATTTCCTCTTTGGTCTCCAGGGAACCTGCAGGCACACAGTCCATTAGAGAAATCAGGCACAGACTCCAGCCGAGCTGGATATTCTGCCATCATATTTTGTGTCTAGATTCTATACCTGCCAGATCAGAACGGCTGAATGCCAGCAATCACAGTTTCATGGGCCGTGCTCTGTGCTTTCTGCCAATAGCAGCTTCCAGGAGCTGAACAGATTGGGTCCTAGGCTGCCTGTGGGGAAGGGCTCCATGCTGCCAGTGGCTGGCCTCCCAGCTGAGCCCCCTTCACCTGCAAATGCAGCCCCACCCCCACACACTCTTACTCTCTGCCTCTGGGCATGGAAGGGGCAGCCTGGCTTCTCTGCTACCTGAACCCTGTGAGTGTGAGATGTGGGGTCACTGCTAAGAACCCTAAGGAAGAAGGATTCAAAAGTTCCAAGAGGTTAGGGTGCACACACAGCTCATGGAACACTGCTCCCTCAGGATACCTCCCTGTAAAATCCCAGAGCCCAGTGACAGCCAGCATGTTCTAGCCTTGCCTTGGTATAGCGCAGGGAACTGAAGTCAGACACTCCCAATCGCCTCAGAGCAGCAGGCAGGTCGCCCTCAGCAGGCACTTGGCATCCTTCCCACAGCCAGTGTCAGGATGCTCACAGCTTGGTCTGGAGAAGCTGGCAGGGGCTGCCTGGTTGGGGAAACGGTGCTTTCAGGCGAGTAACTGCCTACCAGGGGTAAAATACGGAGCTGGCATGAGAAGGGGAGCCAGCTGTGCACAGCACAGGCCCTTTCTTTCACTTTTGTGGGCAAGATCAAGCTCCCTTATGCACAGGACAGGCAGAAGGCTGTCCTATGGCTTCAGACTGACCATCCAGGAAAGAAGTCTATGGAGGCCGATGGAAAGCTGAGCCCACCAGAGCCTGCTCCCTTACCCATCCTGATGTCTGGATGGGGACCCACAGACACCCCCACCCCACCCCCAGTGCTTGTCTGCCTATAGTCAGGCAGGCCTAGGGGCCCCACCCACTGACTGAGGTTTGGGGGCAGGAACAAGGCACTATCAGATGGATCCTGCAGAGGCTTTGAAACCACAGGCACTGGAGCCTGGACCCCTACGGAAATGCCCCAGGCCCCACAGAGGCAGGTGGCTGAAAGCTCGCTGCTCCTCTCAAAGGCACAAACAGTTGTTTTCTAGCTTTCAAGTGCAAAACACCACCTACAGAACAGACTTGGGAGTCTCAGGTGAGGGAGGCACCAATGCCCAGAAACACCCCGAGTTACTGTGCACTTAACTGTTCTTGTCATCCCCGCCTCACCTCAACCCCAATGGAGAAGAGTGCACTGATCCCAAGTGTGAGCGCTTCTGCGAGCTCCCTCGAGAAGCCTACCCTGAGAACCCGCATCCCCAGCACAGTTGGGACTGGGCTATATCTATCTATATGCATACCTATCTGCCAGACCCCAGCCAAACCCCACCTAACTGCCAGACCCACGCCCTAGCTCAGCCCCACCCTCACCTCTCCCCCTCCCCGTGGACCCCAGCCCAGTCCCCCTCATCTGACAAAGCACCGCCACCCTGCCTTACCCATCTGACAGATCCCAGCCCAGCCTCATTCACTCCAAAGACTCCAGCCCGGCCTCACCAAATGTGATAAGTCCCATCCAGTTCTGCCCCACGAGGAAGCCCCAGCCGCATCAGGTCACACACCTGTTTCTCACGGGGGGCTGCGGCCAGCCTCACAGCAGACTGTCTGTCTCAAGCCTGCCTGTAAGCTGAGTAGGCTGTGGGGCTTATTGACGACATCAACAGAGCGGTGGCAGCTCCCCACCCCCACTGCCTGCACTGCTTTCCCCAGTCCTGAGGCTGGGTTTAAAAAACTGGGGATTTCTGGAAGGGAAGCTGGTACCTGCCCCTTCTGACGACACCTACAGAGAAACAGCAAAGAAAGCGTTTGTTCTAGAAACATCTTGAAATGGTTAAACCCAATTGCTCAACCCCACCCTTGGAAGCTTCCTCTTCGTCAACTCACTTCATTCTTTTTTTATCATGACCGGGCAAGGCCCCCACAGAATCTGTGGTCACGAAATGGCACCCAATAGCCTGTTTTTTGGCCAGAGGGAAGCAATGTTCCCTCTCTCCCATGCTCATGAAGATGTGTTTGACAGTAATGTCCCACATCCCTACCTGACGGATGTCAGTATGTGTATAGGACAGAGGCAGGCTTGACTCAGTCAGCCCACAGACAAATCCAGACAGACACTCTAGAAACCTTTCCAGGGCTCATTCTCTTGGCCGGGAATATCCCTTTACACCTGTAAGCTTCAGGAGGCGTTCTTTGCTACAAACATCTTCACTCAGAGCTTGGGGTCTTTCCCGAGGCCACATTTCTTGCAGATCACCATCCCAGTCCCAACCACCCAAGGTCTGGGAACTTTTTCCACATGAGTCCCACAGCTTCTGATCACAGACAGTGTTTCTGTCTTCAAAACCGGCAAGGGGCTAGGGAGACCCTCGGTTCCATGGAGACACAGAGGAGGAATCTATTGGATAGGGCGTCACAGTCAACAGCAGGTTTGGGACCCACACCCTAGTCTGTGTCTGTCAGGCTGAGCTCCCTGCCCGTAGGGGAAGTTTGGTCTCAATTACTCTCTTTCACGGTTACCACAAGCACAGCCTAGGCCCTAACCTTGGTCCCAAGAGCCTGGTGTGCAGAATCCCACCTGGGGCCAAGGTGCTTCCAGGAGAACTGTCTGCTGCCTGTGTACTGAACTGAGTTTCCATCCTCAGCATCTCCCCAATTTCAGCCTCTGGCTAGAGCATCTAAGACAGCGCTGCTGGGTAGAGGCTTGGTTCCCTACTGTTAGGTGGACTGGCTCACACGGCAGGGCAGGGCACCACTCCAGGACCTGCTTATCTCCGGATAGATAGGTAGGGCAGCCGCATCAAGGCCTCTCCTCCCTCCCCACTGAGCTTCTCAGCAGCAGCCTGGTGATCTAGAAGGTAATGTGTCCCGGGAAGATGCTCAACACGTGGAGGTCATGGTGGGCTGTAAGCCACCATCTTCTCCTGCACAGGGCACAAGTTGCCCTCAGCCCTGACTCCGGACCCTACAAACCCACTTGTACCCTAAACTAGGCTCTGCAGGAGACTCAGGGCGCTACTACCCAGGCTGCCCTACAGGGATGCCCAGCCCTTTTCTCAGGGGATTTAGATTCCTGGTCTCAGAGACCTGGACATTGCTGGCCAGGCTCCAGGGTCCTGGCCAAGTCCACACTGTCCCTGCTAGGCAGCCTCAGGACCACAGCTGCAGGAGACTTACTGGTGCCTCTCGGCAATACCAGCCTCGGCTACTGGGTAGCCCTCCCTCCCTGATGCCTGTCTGCCCCACCCTGAGGCCCGTCTACCTCAATGAGGGCCTGACTTGAAGCCCTCACCTTCTTCTCATATGCTGAACTGCTTAAGCCCACACCAGGCCAGCCTCTCTCCCTCCTTCTCTCTCTCTCTCTCTCTCTCTCTCTCTCTCTCTCTCTCTCTCACACACACACACACACACACACACACACACACACACACACACACGCACTCTGCCTGTGGTTCAGGAGCTCTCAGCTACTGTCCCAGCACCAGACATACTGCCAAGTTCCCAATCATGGTGATAATGGACTGACCCTCTGAAACTGTAAGCCAGCCCCCAATTACATGGTTCCTTTTATAACAGCTGTGGTCACGATGTCTCATCACAGCAAAGAACCCAAACTAA